ATAAAAAAAAAGAAGACAACGTGATTAGCACTGTCAACTATGGTCCCAATTCTTAATCTAGTGAAGGTGAGCTTAAATAGCCTCTTGCAGGAAAAAGCCATCTGCCGATATTAAAAATAAAAATGCCGAACTAGAAAAGAAAAAGAGTTTGAAGATAAACTGTGTCTGTCCCTAACCCCGAGGTTGGAGATTCTTTTCCTTACTACCCCCACCTTTACCCCAACCGGCCGAGAGGCCAAGGTCCTCTCATTATATCCGAGGGCAAGGAAGAAATTCAAGTGTGAGGATCTCAGGAAAATAAATTCCAGAGTGGGTCAGGAGGCTTGCAGGTCAGGAGAACTGTGGTGTAAGGCCTGATCCCCTTTGAGAAGATTCCTCCAGGAGTTGCAGGGGCGCTTTTTACCTTTCCTTGACGAAAGCGATGTGGAATTAGTGGCAGAAGTGGAGGAACCAAGCACCTTCCTGGGGGCTCGCGAAGCCACCACTGCGGAGAGGCAGAAGAGAGCATTCAAAACAGGGCAGTAAGGTTCCGACGCTGAGTCTCTCAGAACCACGTTCTCACCACAGTCTCCGACCCCGCCGCTTGGAGAGGAGAGCCCCGCGATCCAGAACAGCCCGACAACCCTCCCCTGTCCGCGCCGCTCCTTCCTCCTGGTAAACGGGCCAGGCCGCGGCTTCCAGAGCTGCTGGACCAGTCTGGCTCACAGGGCGGTGGAGAGCCCTGGCCTCTCCCGCCGGTAGCGGGGCTGCCCGGAGAACCCCCTGCCCTCCACTGCCGTGCCCAACTACCTCACCTTTTCTGTAGGTGCCTGGGACACTGTCCGCTTTCGTCCGCACCATGTTCAAACTCGAGGAGATGAGAGCAATCAAATGACTTCCCAACCGCGGGTGTTTAACTGCACAAGGACTCGAAAAACGAATCTCCCGCCACAGTTTATATTGGTCTCTTTCCCGCGCGCTCCTCGGGCTCTCCAGGGAAGCCGCTCCCATTGGTTCCGCGCCGTCCCCCCACAACCAATCGCCGTTGTCCAGCGATGACAGCGGCGAGGCGAGACTCAGTACCGTCCCGTCCATCAGCTTTGCAGAAGCTTGTGATTCGTACCCGCCCCAAGTGGGCGGTACCAAGGCTCTTTCCTGGGATGCCCCAAGAGTGAGTGCTAAGATTAAGAGTTAGGAAAATGGGCTTGCTTAGAAAAGAAAACCCAGGAAAGACAGCGAATTACAACATTCCTTCAAAAGTTACCCCAGGATTAAATCCATAATGATTGACTCCAGGAAAAGAAACTTGAAATGAAGCAGATTTTTAAATGCAAATCAGAAAAAAGAATTTTTTTTTTTTAAACCTCAGATAAACTCTCTCCACAGGATGCATAACAAAACAATTCTATGGAATGTTAGAAAAGGAAGATAATTTATTTACAAGGCTTTTCTACGTTTTTAGTATGGTGTGAAACTAAAGGAAAAACTGAGTGGATTGTTTATACATACACACATAAAAAGGAATAAATTAATGAAAGGTCTTCCTGAGATCTATATGGTCTCAGAGTTCCTTCAAAATATGCCAAATGTCAGGGTGCCTGGCTGGCTCAGTCAGTGGAGCATGCAACTCTTGATCTTGGGGTTGTGGATTTGAGCCCCACCTTGGATATAGAGATTACTTAAAAATAAAATCTTTAAAAAAAAAAATGCCAGATGTGCTAAGGGTATATCCCTGACACCCAGTGATTATAACGCTAGAACAGGAGCTCACAACTATTTTCTATCCCTATGCCTATCTTCTAATTACTCAAAATCCTCCCAGGGAGTGATTTTCACTCTCTGAAAACCATGCATAAAACATGATCAGGGGGCGCCTGGGTGGCTCAGTCGTTAAGCGTCTGCCTTCGGCTCAGGTCATGATCTCAGGGTCCTGGGATCGAGCCCTGCATCGGGCTCCCTGCTCTGCGGGAAGCCTGCTTCTCCCTCTCCCACTCCCCCTGCTTGTGTTCCCTCTCTCGCTGTGTCTCTCTCTGTCAAATAAATAAATAAAATATTAAAAAAAAAAAAACACATGATCAGATGAGCTTGCCTTGGGATGTATTTTGTTAAATGCTCACTTGAAAGGCAGTCCTGAAAGTGTAAGCAGGGCATTGATTCTCTCCTGTAAATTATGCTTGAACTTTCGGAAAATAGGCTACTAAGTACTTCAGTAGAATCAACAACTACTTTTTGTTTTGGAATTAAAGGATCTTGAAAAAAAAGATTAAAGAATCTAGACAACGAGTGAAATTATATATTATATTATAATTATATTAATTGTATTATAATTCTATTAATTACATTATAATAGCAGGAAATGTATTGGAAATTACCTGTAGCTTTGTCTAACACTTGGAGTCTACAGTAGAATTCCTATCAGAAAAATCAACAAGCCCCAGGGTATTCCTTTCTTCTTTGTTATCATGCCCCTCTCAATACACAATCGTTCTTCAGTACACATTATTTCCTTTTCAGTTAAAGTGGCTTCTACAAAGGCCTGAATTACTTAATTCAAACTCATATCCCAGATTCCTGTGGAGATTAGAACAGCATAGAGAATCTGCCGGTCTTTTCTCTTAGCTCATATGCCAAGTAAATGGCTAGGAAGAATTGTAAATATACCTTTGCACGCAGGAGCAGTCTATTACTATAGCTGCGCTTGTATGTTTGTCTTTTAATAATGGAGAAGAATGCATATTAAGGTTAAAAAGTTGGGAAACAAGCAGTGATGTCTAGAAAAAATTCTTTTTCTTTTTTAATTTTTTTGAAGATTTTATTTATTTATTTGACAGTGAGAGACACAGCAAGAGAGGGAACACAAGCAGGGGGAGTGGGAGAGGGAGAAGCAGGCTTTCCGCCAAGCAGGGAGCCCGATGCGGGGCTCAATCCCAGGACCCTGGGGTCATGACCTGAGCCGAAGGCAGACACCCAACGACTGAGCCACCCAGGAGCCCCGATGTCTAGCAAAAATTCTTAATTTAAATGTTTGCTTTGAGGAAGTGCTTCTCCTTTAATTAAGTAAAACACAGAGGATTGTGTGGTGTGAACTTGAAAATTTCAAAGGCCTAGGGCATTATGAAAAGTTGTAGTACATATGTATGAAATATCTGCCTAAATTTATACAAAAGAATATCTTTAAGTCATGTTAAATAGGTGCGCTTGCTTTGCTCAGGCAGAAGTGCATTTTAATAGATGATAATGACTATAAATGGCATTATATTACATTACATATATTACAAACTGGAGATTACAATCATTAACATATGCTTTATATAAAAAGAATACTTGATCCTTTTTTTTAGGAATACTTTATTCTTGAGGACCTAATAATTTTGTCATAATTTATATGATGTACTAAGTCCTATTATAAAAACAATCTTGTCATAGTCTCTGTGTTCAAGAAGTTGACATTTATTTATTTATTTATTTATTTTTTAAAGATTTTATCTATTTGTCAGAGGAGAGAAGAGAGAGAGAGAACAAGCAGGGGGAGCAACATGCAGAGAGAGAAGCAGGCTCCCCACTGAGCAAGGAGCCTGATGTGGGGCTCGATCCCAGATCCTGGGATCACGACCCCAGCTGAAGGCAGTTGCTTAACCGGTTGAGCCACGCAGGCATCCCTGGAAGTTAACATTTAATTGTTGGAACTGAACAGACACAAACAGGTAAACAATTTGGGTATGTTATATTAATATGAAAATAGATTTTTAAGAAGAAACCAAATTTGTACTCACTATTAATGAAAATTCAGAGTATTTAAGGGTTTTTTTTTAAGCTAGAAAATCATATATTTTCCAAATTAATAACAAAGACAATCTATACCCAATGTAAATCAATATATTTATATGATTTTGATTATTTATGTCAATGAAAACATTAGCATAAAAAAGTGAAGCAGGATCCAATTAATGTAATTGCTTAGTTTACACAGCCTAATGGGAATGAAGAACCTATACCTTTAACAGGAAGTCAGCCAATTAAATTTACTGATGGGGGCGCCGGGCAGGCTCAGACAGTGGAGCACAACTCCTGATTATCAGGGTTGTGATTTTGAGCCCCACATTGGGTGTAGAGAGAACTTAAAAAATAAAATCTTTAAAAAATTTTATTGATGAGATATATCAGAGGATATTAAGCTCTCCAGAATAGTCTGGCTAATTCTCCCCAGTCCATTGTCCCAGTGGAGTAGGGAGTAGTGAAACACATATAAGTCTGGCTTCTCGGGTTGAAATATCTTTGACTTTTAAAAAATCACTGCAAAGGGGGCACCTGGGTGGCTCAGTCGGTTAAGCGGCTGCCTTCCACTGAGTGATCCGAGGGTCTTGGGATCCAGCCCCTCCTGGGGCTCCCTCTCTGCTCATCCAGGAGCCTGTTTCTCCCTCTGCCGCTCCCTCCGCTCATGCTTTCTCTCGCTCACTCTCTCTCAAATAAATAAATAAAATCTAAAAATAATAATAATAAAAATAAAAATAAATAAAAATCACTGCAAGGGGCGCCTGGGTGGCTCAGTCCATTAACCGGTTAAGAGTCTGACTCGATTTTGGCTCAGGTCATGATCTCAGGTCGTGAGATTGAGCCCCACCTTGGCATCCAGTTCCTGGCTCAGTGGGGAGTGTGCTTGAGATTTTCTCTCCCTCTGCCCCTCCCCCTTGTTCTCTCTCTCTCAAAATAAATAAATAAACCTTTAAGAAAATAAAAAATAAAAATCACTGCAGGATGGGGGATGGCTTAAATCAGTGGTGGGGATTAAAGGCACTTGTGATGAGCACCAGGTGTTACATGGAAGTGTTGAATCACTATATTATACATCTGAAACTAATATTACACTGTACATTAACTGGGATTTAAATTAAAAACTTTAAAAAGGACAATTGTTGGCAGAAAAAAAGTATTATATAAATTAAAAAAAAATCACTACAGAGAATTTATGTGGAAGTTCTTAAAAGCCAAATCCCAGCACCTTTTTTTTTATTAGAGCTCTTTCCCCCCTCCCCCCAAGCTTCCTGGGTTATCTTGGCCTCCCCAGAAAAGACCTGGCTTAAAAAGAATTTAATAGAAAGAGGTTTTAGCAGTTAAGAATCTAGGTGGTCCACCAAAGCAAATCCTCACAGTGGTTACTCTAGCTTGCAAGTGCTATTTTATTTTTTTATTTTATTTTTTATTTTTTAAAGATTTTATTTATTTATTTGAGAGAGAGAATGAGAGCGAGCACATGAGAGGGGTTAGGGTCAGAGGGAGAAGCAGACTCCCTGCCAAGCAGGGAGCCCGATGAGGGACTTGATCCAGGGACTCCAGGATCATGACCTGAGCCGAAGGCAGTCGCTTAACCAACTGAGCCACCCAGGCGCCCTTTTAAAATTTTTAAAAAATATTTTATTTATTTATTTGACAGAGAGAGACACAGCGAGAGACACAAACAGGGGGAGTGGGAGAGGGAGAAGCAGGCTTCCCGCGGAGCAGGGAGCCCGACGTGGGGCTCGATCCCATGACTCCGGGATCACGACCTGGGCCGAAGGCAGCCGCTTAACGACTGAGCCACCCAGGCGCCCGCAAGTGCTATTTTAAATGTTTTACATAAAACCAGAATAATTTAAAGGCTGGCCTCTCAGATTAAGAGTTTTATTTTTTCCTCGACTGTAGTTGTTACAGGTATTTGTACGGTCTTCTCAGCAGAATTCCCGATTCTTAAGCCCTACATCTAACGATTTAGAAGAATCACGCGCAGATGAGCTCTGGTACCAGTGTAAACAATGTCGGGAAGCGGGAAAGAGGAGGCGGCAGAGGTGGGAGGGATCTGTGCTGGGGGCGGTGCCACCGCGAGGGGCCGTGCAGGCTGGCGGAACCCGCGCGAGCTAGGTCGGTGTTGCGAAGGGGACTAGTCCGGCGCAGGACGTGGGGCTGTTGGAGCCCAGCTGGTTCCGGCTGGGAAAAATGGCGGTGGCTGGGGCGGTGTCCCGGGAGCAGCTGGTGGGCTGGTGCACCCAGCAGTTGCGGAAAACTTTCGGCCTGGATGTCAGCGAGGAGATCATGCAGTGAGACCGGTTCGGGTCCCAGGCGGGAAGGAGCTCTGGGATGTGCACTGACTAAGCGAAAGGGGAAGCGGGGAGGACTAAAAAGTTGATGAGAGTGAAGAAATACGATAAAAGGGTTCTAGGCGCCGAATTTTGACCTCCGGCCTTACAGTTTAGCTCTGGAATAGTGTGTCAGGCTACACAATCGGCCGGTGGGGACTTTTTTCTTAGAAAAACGCCAGATCTCTGATAATTAGACATCTTAAGACTGTCCCGGGAGCCAGTTTCCTTATAAATTCTGGAGAGAAGGGGCAAGCCAAAAATTTTTCCCCCCAGAAATCCCTTGCTCTGAGCATTTTAGTTTACCGGATCTGGGTTGTGTCAAATAAGACCTGGACTTTAAATTGACGCTGCGGTGGTAAGGTGTAAATAGCTCCTGACTGAGGAGTCCCATTTTCTATTTTCTGTTGTCATTTACCAGTTTTGGAACCTTGGGCATTTTAATTTCCCTCTCTACACCTTAGTTTCCGTGTCTATAAAATGAAAAATTAGCAGGGCTTATCTTTAATACTTTATAATTCTTATGAAGTGGAGATGGTGACATAATTTAGGATTTGCTTTCAATTGATTTATCATGTTTGTTGCGCTACATAACTGGTGCTGGGGCAACAAAGACGACTGAGACCATTGGGTTCTGCCTGGTTGATGAGTGGGGAAATGTAAGGTGTTGTGGGAGCACGGAGTAAAGATCTCCCACTAAGATTTGAGAAACTTTGAAGGTTTCCCTCAAGGGATGACTTTAACCTGAGAACTAAAGGGTGGGTAGGTGGAAGCGCAGTATTCTGGCGAGGGGAAAACTTCTACAAAAATTGGACTCGATCAAAGAACCTCAAAGTGTTTCTTGATTTGATTCCTTGTACATAGATGGTGAAACCTAAGTTGCCATTTCTAGGGCTTTTGTAGGAAATGAGTTTCTGAGTTTGGAGAAAACAGACTTGTTGGCAAGGAGAGAATTAAGTCTGTTTTAAAGGTTTTTGTTTTAAACATTGGAATAAACTATTAAAAAAAACCCCAAAACCCTGCCAAATCGTATGGCTTATCTTTATCCTTGTTTGAAGGCAAGAACAGATTAAGTAGTTTTCAGACATTTTTTTTAAAGCAGTGGAATGCTGTAAAATGAGATAATGAGACTTCGTAAAGATACCAAACAGAAAAAAAGTCACTCAGTTAAAAAAAAAAACAAAAAACCCACAAAGATTGAGGCTACTTTTGATGGATCAACAATGCAGTATGGTTAGATGCAGTCTTTTCCGTCTCAGTACCCACACCCTTTAAAGAACGGTGATCAGAAATTTAAGTTTTATAGTTGAAGCACTAAGTATGGATAAATACCTGCTTGCATTTTTTTTACTCATAAATATAAGTTCTACGAAATTGTTCAAAACTGAAAAAAACACTGAAGCTACCTATAATATAATGCTATTTGAACTAATTTGACTTTTAGGTTTTTACTAGTTATTGCTCAACAGGCCATGATGCCATGATCAAAGCATTTTTTGTGTAAATTTGCTGTGCTTTGCCTGGTAATTAATTGAAAATTAGTACTATGGAAGTGTTCTAACTTGAAAAATTTGGCATGAGTGGCCTGAATTTTTACAAACAGCACGGAACTACTACGGTCCTAATCAGTGATACATTTATGGAACATTAAGATGTGTACCCAGGATTAGCAAAATAAACTTTGTTACAATCTGCCTTAGCTCATGTTTTGGATGACCCTATTTTCATAAGATTTTGCATATAACACATTTGGATGTATGCTGTTCCTTATTATCCTTTGTTAAATAGTTAAAATAACATTTATTCAAATGTTTCTGGAACTCTTTAAATACTTCCCTAGTGGTTTGAATACTCCACAGTTAAATGATCCCCTGAGGTTCCTTGCAGTTCCTTCTGTGAGAACTTGGTAGCAATTAATCTTTTGATGGGGGCTGCTAAGTTTGGGCATCAAGTTGATTAAACTGTAAAAGTCCTGAAATATAGTTGTGTCTTTTTAATCTATGATGGATTAGAAGATGCTCTTAATGAGGCCCAAAGGCACAGGTTTATTCACCTATAGATCATAACTCTGCAAATATACCACCATGTTAGGAAAAAACCCTAGTGATGGTACAATCACATGATTTTGTTTTAATTTAAAGGAATGTAGCATTATTATAATTTTTCTTGTATCCAATACCAGTGTGTCTGAATTACAGTTTATTCAGATCTTATAATGCTTTCATGGTCTGATAAGTTAATTTACAAGTTATTTTTTCAATTCTTTCTTTCCTTGGTATAACAATCACTGTAGAAACCTAAAAAAATCAGAAAAAGATAGAGGAGGAAACTAAAATTACCATAATACCACAACCCGGAGGTAATCATTGTTTGTCTCTTAGTGTTTTTCCTATGCGTATTATAATTTATTTTCAAAACATATTCATCTTAGAGGAAAAAATAAAATAAACTCTCTTTAATCATACCACTCAGTGGTAATCATTTTAGTATATAAGCTTCTGGCCTTTTTTCTACACATAAGTATATGGATATACACATTTCTTTTAGCAATTGTTATTGCTCTCATATACTCTACATTCTATCCTGTTATTTCACTTACCATTATATGAAAGCAATTTTTTCAGGTCAATAATAATTATTCATAAGTTTCACTTTTAGTAGTGGCATATCACATTTTGTAAAGTCCAAAAACTTGAATTCATTAGTCTTTCCCATCAGTGGATGTTTTATTATTTTTTTATTTTTTATTTTTTATTTTTTTTTAAAGATTTTATTTATTTATCTGAGACAGAGAGAATGAGAGACAGAGAGCATGAGAG